AAAACAATAACATGAATCAGTGAGAATCGTAAGGGTTGCTAATAGTATATTGTGAATACCAATGAGTAATGGTATCATGAATCGCGTTCTTTTCATCGTTGCGGGATATTTCGGGAATTAGTACCTTAATGAAAGAAGACATTGTGAATTCGAACACATTTTAACGTGTGAAATTCAAGATTAACAGAAACTGAAATTGTCCCTTTCCGGAATTTGGGGAAAAGGACTGATGATTGAATGTTTTCAAAAAACATAACAAATCACTGATTTCAGCATCACACTTGCTTTTTGCTTTGCAAAAGCAGAAGCGAAAACTGAATAAATTTGTAGGAAGCAAAGCAAATATCAATGAATTCGTTTTAAATCCGAATAATCTTTGCTCCAAACAACTGTATGCCATGAATAAAAAACAGTTTTTTCTTTTTTTTGTGATGAATTTTGCAAAATTTACAGTAATGCTCTGATTATTTCGCAATTTTTTGCATGTCATAACATTGTCTTTTTGTACTTCAATTTATCTGCAACCCTTTTCATGAGGTTTTCGTCGGGGATTAAAAGCATATTCATCAACTATCGAGTTAGAGATAGGAAATTTGAATGTAAGAGAAAAAAATATGAGAAATACTGCTAATCGTGCAGATCAAAAGTTACTTGAACCTTTGGTCGTTTAATTCCATTCAATGTGATATAAAAAGGCTTCTATTCGAGCATTCCTACCATTTTGAAAATTTTGCATTTTGCCTTGTTCTTCATTATGTCAATGACACAGATCATTTGGTTCAGTCTTCTGCTTTGCGTCACTTTGGCTTATAATAAAACTTTCTCTCCACTTAATCCCCCCGCATATCATTATCCTGGCTATAACCCAGGTGTCAGTCTGAACCTTTGCCATACATCTGATATCGTCGACAACAATTTGGAGACATTGCCTGACCATAATGACGATACATACAAGAGCGACCGGGAACAAGTGACGATAATAACAAATGATGAACAATCCCAGGAAGTCACCGACGGCTTCGCTTATAATATCGAACGGGAAAATACTGATCGAGAATTGTTGGGAATAAACGTTGACAAAGATCTCTTCCCTGAACTCATCTGCAATTTATCACCATTTAATTTAGATACCAGTACAAGCAATATTGGTGGAGAATTACCGGGAATAAATGGTAAGGTATTACGCAATCACTTTTTCTTCCAACCCTTACAGTTCAAAAAATCGCGTGAAAATGAGATTGCAAAAAATTAAGGACGATACTGATTTCGTTACAGCAGAAAATTCGCAGTTATTTGATCTACGATATCCGTCCATTAAAGAAAATTTTTTGTCCCTAATATATGAACATTTTCTAGAAAAAGAAAGTGAACATTTTCTAGTAATTCAAGTGAAATGTGATGTGATAAGCTTATTTTGTGCATTACCAGGATCAGTTTTCAAATTACATTAATTATTTAGCAACTACAGTAATGGAGTGCTAATTACAAATACAAATATTATAAGAGGAGTTTTTTCAGAACAAAATCGTGTATCGGATGCATATCGGATGCATATCGGATGCATTGCGAGCTTTGAGAATCGCGGTGAATATAGAAAATGCAAGAAAACGCACGACGAACCATTCACTTACAAACGCAAACGATCCGATTGTGGACGAACTTTCAATCATTCATCGTTTACCTCTCACAATGAAACACATCAAACTAAACATCAATGTGAAAGCCGTAAGAGATTCTTCACCTTTAAGCACAACATGAAAAGTCACGAGGAGCTACACTCTAGAACTTCTTATTAGTTTCGCAAATTTAGCAAAATTTCAAGCACGTTTTTCTGTCTGGAATAGCAGAATGCACATGAAAATGTGCTGCAGAACATCCGCGACCACGGAGTAATAATGCAAAATTCAATAAATATTGCAATTCAGAAAAGTCATGCAGGAAACGAAGCTAAACTCGTCAAAGTGTCCATTTCTTTTGACGGAGTGAGACAATATTTTAAAAATTTTCGTCTCAGACCTAACTGCAGCACATCCACAATTCGGGCATATACAATGCACGAAAAGGTGTGTAAGTATCAGAAATTGCGCGGCATCCTCAATGCTGCCATCAAAACAGATGCCAATTTATAGTCTCATTTTGACATTGGCTTTCTGATCTGTTTTGTTTTCATTCTCTTTACTATTCAACATATTATAAGAGTAATTAGTGACAGAAACGGCTATTTTTTAAAATTAATTCCTATCAAAAATCATACTGTTTATTCTATTCTTCATGATCGCCCGATATTATAAGAGTTTTTCAGAAAACGAAATTCGTGAGTGTTCTTATCGCAGATGTACTTTTCACACGAACAATCGCAAAGAAT